ATATATTCATGGCGTGACCGCAAGGAAAATCTGAAGATCAAAAATTGAGAAATGCGCCTTCCATCGCGTCTAATGTTTTCGCTCCACTACCGAACATGATGCCTATATAACAGGGTTCAGATGGCCGATCTATTGCTATTGAATGTACCTGAAGTATCCCTGCATGGGGGCTTTATGAGCAAAGATATGCAATCTATGCCATCTTTACAGGCTCTTTCTTACTGGTTAGCGCTGCAGTAGTAACTTCTCTTCAGTCACCTCTATTTCAACAATTCCTGCTGTCATAACGGAGGTTTCAACAATTCAGACTAACCGAAACAAGACGAGTGTGCAGTCAACCTATCCTGTTCGTAATGAAGGATAAAGTCTTGGGGTAGTAACCGTTCCCGTCAAAGGGATGAGCCCACGCATTCGACTTCAATTCAGAATCCCGCAATATGCAACATAGAAAGGGAAATGCTAAGGCATTGCTGAAAAGACGAGTCGAGATGGTGGCAGGGTTTGATGAAGCAATCTGATGAGTTAATGGAATTGATTTATTGAAGGTAGCAAGGGTATAGTAAGTAATGTTGCACCTGATCACCTTGACAAGTCCGAAATGAATCTGAGAAAAAGAAAGTAACCGTTCTGTACAAGTTGAATGAAATTTAGCGGCACATGCAGACGAACCCAAGTGGGCAAAAGGGATTCATCGAGCGATCAATGGTGCATGATCAATTTCGGTATGTGACTGACCAGCACAGTCCTCGCAAAGAAAATGAGGTTGAGTTCTCCGGTGTGGGCGAACGGTCTCGAACGTGTGGGTAATTCTTTGCCTCACCCAGAAGGACATGTTGTCAAAGTTCAAAAATCTCTGTGAAGCCTAGCAGACGACGCTTGAAACATGGCCTTGCTGTTACTATTAAGTACTTATGTATGCCTTTTGTAGTACTATAAAAACTGTGGATAAATAAAAAAAGGGCCAGCTCAGTAGATTTTTCGCCAATTTACGCTTTTTCAACCAAAAGCCTGAAGCAATGAGGCCTGAAACTTTATTCAGCTGCAGAAAAATGGATGACACACAATAGCCAGTGCCCCGTTCATGAACAGCTAGTGATGGGAACAATGCCAACAGCTTTTTAGACCGAAAGTCTCCCAGTTCGTGACGGTCTTCCAGCGGATCGCCACCTTTCTTTCCCTTTTTAAGGTTTTTTGCATAAATGCCTTCATTTCCGAGCTATTTCACACCGAACTCTTCTCAATTTCATTCCGTAGAATACATCCAGGTCAGACGACCAAGCAGTTCATACCCACGCCCTCTAGCCCCAATAAACAGGACAAAGGATAGGTACAGAACGACTAGGGATTCGAATGTCGCTGCGATTCTCAGTGTTGAGCATGGTGCATATCGAAGCGGGTTGATAAGAGCCACGATTTTTACAACCCTGAAGCTCCAGGTATTCCATGGGATACGGGCAGAAGGCTGCGAGAAAAATACGGATGAGTATCAACAAAGTGTTGACCGCATAAACATCACTACAATTTCAAATTGTTCTTTACCTCCCTTTAATGGCACAAAAATCGAAATAACCCTATTGCTAGCTCCGCGGATAGGCATTAACTCCGCTCGAATTCCGAGCTTTGCTACTTCCCTGTTTTGTCAGGGAGGTTTTTTTACTCGAGAGTTCTGTATTCAACCTCCAGTTACTGAATGAACTTGGCCCCACTGTTGCTCTCTTTGGTGGATCCACTGCAAAAGCACAGAGGCCTATATGGCCTACAGAAATGCACTACCGCGAATGGGGTTTGGTCGGTTTCAAGGAGGAATGAGGGGAATCGAGCTACGTGCATCAAGATGACAGCTAGATTCGCGTATTTGTGATATGAAGGGCATCGTTCTTTATCTAAAGATTTAAAAAGAACGCCCTTCAGGTTTCAGTTGACTCTTCAGGGACCCCACCAGAAGGAGTCACTACGAAATTCTCATATCCCTCGACTCTCATCTCTACTCTATCACTTACAAAATGCTTTGAAGTACCCTGTTCGTGTTTCAGATACCAACAAATGTTTGCTCGGGTTCTTCATATAGTTCTTCTCCTCGCTGGGGTTTGCCAAGGTATGCCATTTGCAGAAGTTTTGAAGAGCTTACAAAAAACCTCAGGATTATTAATTCTTCCATCCTCCCTGGGCCTTCAGTAGCCAGAACTCAAATTTCAAGAAGAACACCGTGGATGGTGCGTAGTCCGTAGACCACCGTGGATGGGGCGTAGTTATAGATAGTAATATGAAGGGTTGTAAACTGCTTCGACATGTCGAAAATCGCTGAAATTGTACTTGCTACTACTAGTTCATACTTGAATGTATGGCTTGTTTCTAAGGAAGATAATAAAAAGCGACGTTTTGCTGCTGTTTCGATGTGGCGTCCAGCCGGTTTACTTACTGGCCGACTGAACAGCGGATCAAGATTGTTAAACCTTGTCTTCGCTTCTTAATGGGGTTAGTAAGGACTCCTGAAGCCGGAGTTCAGTAGCTATTGAACCAATAACCGCTACGATTAAAACAATGAGAACAATGAGTGTGAGAGAATAAATGAGAGCGTAACAACCAGGTTACTAACAAGTAACCAAAAAAGAATGAGTAATTAAAGCGATTAAAAAAGAAGTGAAATTGTCGGAGAGCTGTCTGTATATAGTGGTTGATTTCGGACATCGGACGAGTTGTTGTGTATTCGAGCGTTATGAAGCTAGGGAGAAATAACAGTATAACGTATGAGGGCGCAGACGATATCACAAATTGCCGGTACGGCGACACAAACCTGTAGGCGTGGCTTATTTGGTAATCTCAATGTGTCACTTTTGACGAAAATTCTATGTGAAAAAGCTGCGTAATGATAATAGATAGACTTTTCAACTTATGGAGTTCCCCGTATGCTCAACGGGAAAGAACATATCTAACATATCTAATCATTTGTTTCAGGCAAACTAATTCCTGATCGGGAAATAACCGAAGCACTAAATGCCCTGGTCTTACTTGATGAGCGCCTCGATGGACATGCAAAGATTAATTACCAGGTACTTTTATTACTCAAATTGACAGATTATTTGATATCACCGCTACATACTTGAAAATCAAATGTGGAAAGACGTGAATGCGATATGAAGCGAGTATACATACCTTGCTCGACCATAAAGATGGTTTTTTGAAAAGGAACCGGTACCCTGGCCAAGGTAGCGGAGTAAGAAAAGTCGTTATAGTACACACACAGTAAAAATATCAGATCAGGCACAAAATTTCACAGTGGTAATCAAACCGATCCTCCTTCAAGGTCAGTTGACTGGTGCAAAATCAGAATCGGGTATCGAAAGGGCCGGTTCGCAAATCAACTTGCCTTGTGGATAGCATGAGACACAAGTAGATATGTACCACAGTACTGAATAGTCCAAAGCGCTCATTATTATTAAAAGTATCTATTTATCAAAATACATAACGATTTTTAATACCATCATTTCCAGAATATGGCATCCCGCAAAGATTTCACTCACGACAATGCTAAAGAACCCCTTTTCACGTCAGTCCCAAAAAAAGCTGTCGATGGAGCCACCTATAAAGCATTCAAGAACTTAATTGTGAGTAAAACTTTACAAAAGTATAAGGCATATTGTCCTATCACTAGAATGTCTTCAAGTATATCAAAACCATAAACTAGTACAGTTACAAAAACGGAGCGATAACTTAACGGTAGTGTTTAGAAGGGGTTCATAGCTTCAGAATAACGCTCGATAGACCATGGATAGGGGATAAGTTTGAAAGTGAGAGTTTTTCGTAACTACATCCAATCTGGGGTCATTTTCGAATCCTTCACGTCCTCCTATCCGCAACATACAGGCTCTTGGCTCCCGGACTTCTAAAGTGCTCCAATTTTGCTTCACAAAGGATTCACCGTCTTCTTTTCAGTCATTCTACAATCAGCCTGACGTGGATGTACCAGAAACTGTCACATCAGACTGGGACGCTGCAATTGACTCGTTCCTGGATGCAGTTACGAACACGACGGTAATGAGAAGCACTAAGGAATTCCTAACTTCGGAAGGTAGGAAGCGAGAGCCTTTCCTCTACTGATACTCCTGGTGCTACCGCCTTTGTTTAGGGGTCGTATCTGATGATGAATCGTTCAGAAATCTGCTTTATACTATGTGGTTTACTCAATATGCAAGAGGCCATGCAGTAGGTAGCTCAGGTATGCTCATCTCCAACAATACATTTAGGCTACTACTGCCCGCCGATGTAGAGTAGCCTGATTGGTGCCTGTGACAAGTCCGCCAATCACAGGCACTCTTCACACGCAACGAGTAATGACCCAAGTGCTGTTAAATACGTACGGAACTCTCTTCAGGATTTGAATCCGTTTTCTCTGGGGAGATCAGAGGTAATGACGTGATCCGCTTCAATAACTGGTTCCGATTCTATTTATTGGAAACCGCCGGCCACGTCAATTATCACGGTTGGTATACCAGGGAAAAGGTGAGTTACATTCTTGATTTTGGCCTCGAAAGAGAGTCTAGAGGGTTCAGTCCCCCACGAGATTGCATCGGAAAAGCTCGCACAAGTCTAATCCCCTCGAAACCCTGGGATGTACAGCGCCGGCTTTTCTGAGGCAACTTATCCTT